GGGTGGGGGTGGGGAGGATTGGAAAAGATTCACAATGTATAAATGGCAGCACTTTCTTGTCCTAAAGTTATTTTGTCTGTGTGCCAGTCCATCAGTGCCACATTTGCATGTTTCTGCAAGGTACTGAACTAGAAGTAAATGCTTATGGCTATTAAATGAAACAATAGGTCTCTGTAAATTTTTTTAACTGCAATTGAATCAGCTGTTGTTTAAGAAAATGAGTCTGACAATGGTACAAAGCAGCTTTAGAAGCCTCCACAAATGCACTTTTTAAGGACTCTTTCACAAAACTGTTGTCAGTAGCAGCTAGTAGAAATTATATCTTTTCATTTGAACCAGAATATTCATGCCTCGGAGGCTGAACTGAAAATAAATTTTGGAGAATATTCCAATCCCAAATCCTTTATTTTAATCATGGACACAGTACTCATTTTTCTTGTCTTTCTCTCAGATCTTATTGTATAAGGACGTGGCATGAAGGATGTCACAATTCAAAAAGTAAATTGGGATTTAATTAGCTTTGAGAGAGAGTCTTCCATTGTATGTAATAATATTTGTCTTAAAGGAAGCTATTGGAAGAATACAGGCTTACTACAGTCGTTATACTGTTCTAGTTGAGAAAGAAAACCGTAGAAAATGGTTTAGACATCTGATCTTCAAAATTGAGGAAGTGACGTGAGCCCAGTGCCAATGAAATGGAAGAGTAGTGTTATCCTCCCTTTCTTGATTACAAATTGCTATAAATCCTGTAGGAGACCTTTGCAATTCAGGCAGTCTCTGCTTTATTTTCTTGTGCCTGTGTTGGGGGTCCTCAGTCTAACACCATGATCTAGAAGATGTTTCTTTTGTACAGACTTTGTGTCATCTCTTAAAATTGCCTAAGCACTTAAGTAGGAGAGCATACTAGCATACTGGTTTTCGAAAATTGTAGCAGGGTAGGAGCTGCAAGAAAGATATAGTGCCTGAGAATTGTCACCTCTCCAGGAATGGAGTTCACTGGTGTTCCAGTAACCTGATATGATCCCTGACAGAAAATATTTTTTCACTTTTATCATGATATTTAATTTCTGACGGTCCAGGTGGTCACAATAACATCTAGATTTAAGAGCATGGACAAAATAAAGACCACCGCCGTGACCTCCACCTTTGTGTTATCTCTAGCCAACAGATGGCTGAAAACTGGTTCTTATTCCAAAATTTCTTGTAAAGTTTATTTCCATGGGAGATTTGGGTGTAAAAGCTTTTGTCTCTCCAAAACCTTCTTGAAACGCTTTTCAGGTTCAAATCCTGATTGTTCCTTTTTGCTTCCCGTCTTGCCCACAGCATTGTTATGAATAGAACTCAATTAAGATGTTGACATTAAGTTTCCTGAAAAATTGCTTTCTACTTTAGACTAATGCTTAGAAATGTTAATGAAACATCTAGGCACGGTTGGGTGAAACTGTTCTCTGCCAGGATACTAAACTGGGCTAATTAACTTTCTATTATGTTCAGTACGAGCCAATTGTCAATGTATAGTGAGAGGAAATGCTCTTATCTCTGTCCACGAGGAGCAATACTTAACTTTGATTTTATAATTTGGCAATACA